CTATCTTAAAAAACCAAATTAAAAAAAGAAAGAAAGAAAAGGAAAAGTTTTAGGGGGTTGGAGATGGAGAGATGGCTCCATGGTTAAGAGCACTGACTGATTTTTCCAGAGAACTCAGGTTCCATTCCCAGCACCCACATGGCAAATCACAACTGTCTGTAACTCCAGTTCCAGGAGACAGGACACCCATGGCAAAACACCAATGTACATAAAATAAAGATAAATAATTTTTTTAAAGGATTTATTTTTAAAAAAGAATACTTAGAAGTCTTCTGGAAAAGGTATTCTAGAACCCAAAGGTTCAGATCAAAAGGCAGAATATTATCAATCACTGCCTCAGAAAAAAATGTTACATGGGAGCTCGAAATTCCTCTTGACCACAGGGAATCTTATTATGAATAGCTGGGCCTGTTAGAAGCAGTCTCCTGTGACCTTTCTTTGGTTCTTTACACCAATCCTGTTACGGTCGCCAGACAAAATGAACTAAGTGTGCTGCTTCCTGCTAGCTCATGTACTTTAAAGGCATCTTATTGCTTCAATGGATATCCCAATATTCAGTTTTTCTTCTAGAAACAAATCGAACATTTATTTGCAATGTGCTGACTACAGCCCGGAGCAATTCCACTTCCATTCCCTATTGCAACTTACCTGTCCTGTAGAGATGCCTGCACACTTAACCAATAGACCCTGAGAAAGCAGGATTAACCCTTTAGTTTCCATTGAAGTAATTATCATATTCAGCTGAAACTACACATACTTTGTTCATCTTCCTGTGGAAGGAGTTTCCTAACACAGAAACATCATTCTGAGTCCCACACTGGATCTGTTCAGCCTATTGCTGAAACATACTTTCTGCAGTACAGGAACCATAGCTAACACTCAAGGATTACCCTTTTCTAGAACCCAAATATTAAAAGCCATGTATTACCTCATTTAATCCTTACAAGCTCTGAGAAGCAGGTAATTTTCCTATTTTAAAAATATGAGAATAAACCGGGCGGTGGTGGCGCACGCCTTTAATCCCAGCACTTGGGAGGCAGAGCCAGGCGGATCTTTGTGAGTTCCAGGCCAGCCTGGGCTACCAAGTGAGTCCCAGGAAAGGCACAAAGCTACACAGAGAAACCCTATCTCGAAAAACCAAAAAAAAAAAAAAAAAAAAAAAAATGAGAATAACTTGGCCATGGTAATGTCCCACATCAACTTGGGATCTTCTCCAGTATTTCCTTCATGTTCAATTGAATATCAGCTCACAGCTCCCATGCTGGTTCCACAATCTGTATATATGCTTATGTTCTTAGCAATTCAAAAAAATTACCTTCCATGAAAACAATGGTATACTTTTTAAGCTTTATAGCATACATAAACACCAACAAGTGTATAAAAAACTGACACCTTTTTAAAGAATAAAGATGACAGGTTATTAATGCTTACCTTTTATTTCTTCTAAACACATTCTTTAGGAAATTAAAGCTCATATTCTTGGGACAATGCTGGTATACCTTCCACACAAATGAAAAACTTTTGTCTCTAGAATAAAAGTGAAGTTGTATGCCTTTCTCTCAGAACATTTAACCCTACCTTTCCCTTCACTACACTAAGAAATGGCCAATCTCAATAGACAGCTGCCTAAATTTTGCCAGAAAGCAATGCACTATTCAAGGATTTACTCTGCTATTATCCAGATCACTGAAGTTGCAGGAAAATTCAAGCACAAACGTTGCTGAACTCTCTTAAACCTCTCACCAGTGGAAATGTAAACTCATCCCTAGGTGTATTTTACTTTACAAACTGACATTCAAGAAAAGCCATCAAAATTCAATTTAAGTAAGATTTATTGAGTGTGCACAGCCTGTCACTAGACATGTTGAATTCAGGCATACAACATATCCCAGCCTTGGGTACCTTGTGATCTAATTAGTATAACACAGTTTGGAAGCAGATAATGAATTCCATGTCATTGCTCATTCAGAGCCAACATTAAAGAGCTGTAATTTAAGTAATCCAAAGCGGCATCTAATTCTAAAATCATCGGTAACATTTATTGGGCCTTAGATAAAACTACTGCAGACAAGCCACAAAGATGAAAATACCCAGCAACAGAAGGGGGCGCTATAGATGATTTTTATTTTGAATCCTCTGTTTTCTTCTTATAATGGTCCGAAGCCTCCGCAATACCAGCTTATCAGAGAGGAGCATGTCATCTTGTTGTTCCAGATAATCCAGCAAATTTTCAGTCCATTCAAGTGCAGCTTTGTGGCTAATACGCTTCTCTGGATTCAGTTCTGCTTTCCTAGTCTTCCTGGAAGGCTTCTGCTCAGCAGCCACAGCCCGGTCTTCAGCACCTACAATGTCAGCCAATACCTGACAGTTTGAGTCACTACTCCGAGAGTCAAACCACTGCTCGATATTTTCAATGTTGACATGCTCACAATCTTCTGTATTCTGTAAAACTGTTGCTAAATTAGCAGCTAACATGGCTCCTTCATCAATGTTCATGCTTGAATTGTCTTCACTGCCAGGGAAAAGCTTTTTCCACGCTCTGGTTATGGTATTTGATCTTATCATGTTCCAGGCTCTTGAGGCCTCATAAATTGCATCCAGCACTGTCAAATTCTTCCAGAACATTTTTGGGTCATTTCCTTCATTCATGTATTTCTGGATAAGTCCTGCTCGGTAATATCTTTTGACTGTGGTTAGAACTCCTTGGCTCATAGGTTGAATAAGACTTGCTACATTTGGTGGCAAATATTTCACAATTATCCTGCCGTCATCGGAGCTCAGCAGGTCTCCAGCTGGATGTGCTGAGGGGAAGTCTAAAAGCAGTACTGCTTTCTCTCGAAGCCCTTTGGATTTCAGGTGCTTCTGCACCTGTGGCACAAAGCACTTCTCAAACCACTGTTTGAAAACAGACTGCTCAATCCATGCACTTTTCTGACTGAAGTAAGTGACAGGAAGGTTGGAAAGGTCAGTGCCTTTGAATGCACGGGGCCTTTTTGCTTTTCCCACCACACAAAGGTTAAGTTTATGCAGACCCGTGGCATTTGCACAACACATAATAATGATTCTCTCCCTGCTTGACCTATACTCTGAAGTATTCTGGTCAAGGTCAAAAGCCAGTGTCCTTGAGGGGAGACATTTCCAGAACAGTCCAGTTTGATCAGCACCATAAATTTGTTCCGGTAGGAGATTTTCTCTTTCCACAAATTCTTGAAAGTTACCACAAAATTCACTGGCAGCAGTTTCATCCCCTTTTAATTTTGCTCCTTTACCAGCAGCCTTTGGAATCCCGTGGCGCTGCTTAAACCGAGTGAGCCAGCCAGATGAGGCATTAAAATCACCTTCCATCCCCAATGCATCAAAAAAGAACTTGGCTTGTTTTGCGCAGATAGTCCCAGACACTGGGATCCCATCTGTTTTCTGCTGATTAAACCACTCTATCATAACTCTATCAAGCTCCTCATACGTTGATGACTTCATGGATTTACGTTTGGACACCCCGCTAGTAGGATCTGAACTGTTGGCATAGTTTATAATTCTTTCTTTGTTTTTTTTAATGTCGCGAACCGTGGATTCCCCAATTCCATACACGACAGAAAGTTTTTTAAAAGAGTTGCCTTCTTCAAGCTTCTTAATGATGTCAAGTTTGTCTTTAATTGTTAACACCACACGCTTACGTTTCCCCAACATTTTAGTCTAGTATTTTAGACAATTAACAACTTAGATTTGAACACAGAAAATGGAGGCTTAAGAGCCCTCAGCTGGTCCCTAGGACTTAACAGATGGTGTAACAACTTTCTAAGGAAGTCTGAGTCTCTTCACTTGCATTTTAGAAATTAATCAAGTTCCTATGACAAGGGATAGCTCCAGTTAACCCTATTTTCTCACCTTCCTCCTTGCTCTTTTCATAAACTGAAGCCTTACTGGAAACTATACTGCCTTACCAAGGAATCTAAAACAGTCTGATGGTGATCAGCTTTTGCCATTAATGCAGGATTTATCTTTCCCTATGCCAATGTGCAAGAAAATAGTTTTACTCAGCCTTGCAAACTTGACATACAGAAAAGCGGAGCTGGGAGAATCACCGCCTGACTGTTGTCTTTGTCAGGCAGCCAAGTGTGTGAATGCTCTCTTCAAGGCAAGGACTCGGGTGAGTACCTATGAAAATCATTGCGACAGGAGGTGAGCTGTCAGAGTGCAAGTGGACAGGCAAACAACTCAGTACTTTAAACCAACGGGAACTTACACCTAATGGATTTGGCTACTGAAAGGGAAACAACGGACAAGAAGTGATGTCACATGATTCAAGAAAGGATAAAAAAACTTCATTGGTGGAAATCAGGACCCAAGGCTGAGCCTAGGGGGTGGCAGGCTGGGTGAAGACCATACAGTAATCCCGGTGGACGCTGATCTCCATGACCACAGAAGTAGCTGCTCTCGAGCCTCTGAAACCTACAGGAAAATACCAAACACGTTTTCTTTTCAGTATCAGTCCACGGTATTACTCATACCTACCCTTGCAACTGTGTCGAGGACATCACTGCCTATCCACCTGACAGGTAATAGACAAATAACGCTCGCAGGCACCACCCGGGAGCTGAGAGCCTACCTCCTGACACTACCAGGGCCTCTCCCTGCCCGGGCCAGCGAGCTCGGAGCTGGACGCTGGGCGAAAGTCGGCGGCAGGGGGGGTCACGGCCGCAGCCCTGCAGCGGGCGAGTGGTCACCGGGCGCGCGGGACACGGGGAAGCGGGGCGCGGGCATCGCTCCGCCTGACCAGCCAGAACGCAGAGCCAGCGACGGAGGTCCCCAGGAAGGCGACCCTGCTGGCCGCCGCAAGCCGCTCGGCTGAGCCGGAAGGCAGGGGATTAGGAGCGCGCGCGCGCCCCCGCAGGAACGTGGTGTCGGCGAGGGGGCGGGGATGCGCGGGCGAGCGCGCGGCGGGGGCGGGGCCTCTGCAGGGAGGGGCGGGGCTTGGCCAATGTTCCGCCTCCGGACGCCCGGCTGCGGCTTCGGGCTGACGACTATTCGTCTGGCCAGCAGGGGGCATCGCAGGCTCGTTCGCGGTGGCGGGCTTTTGCGTCCGAGGCTTGCCAGGGCCGGAATTGGCAATCGCTCGGTCTGCGTCCCGGTAAGACCCGGGTCTCCGGGTGTCCAGGGAGCGCGCACGGCGCCCGTTCGCTGTCCTCTGCGGCTGCGGCGGCTCGGAACCGGGTACCAGGGCAGGCGGGCATGGCGGAGGGAGCAGAGGACCTAATGCTGGAGCAGCCGTGTAAGGACCAGCCCCTGCTGCTGTCAAAATGGAATTTCAAGGCTTCGACCTGGATCGGGTCTGGCGCTGTCTCCCTCCCTCCCTCTATCTCCAGCGTAACACTTAAAAAAAAAAAAAAAAAACTTCCGCAAACGCCTGAACAGGATTATCCTAACTTCTATTTCTCAAGGCAATATTCTTGCTAAAAATTTTAGTACTCCGAGAGAGAAATCAAAGTGAGCATTCACTCAGCAGAGGAAGAATGCTGGTTCCAAGCCCTTTTCTGTCTCCCAAGACATATCTTCACAGCTGTCCTCAGAATCCCACCCTTCCACTTTCTGGCGTGCTGGAAATCCCTTGACCTATTTGTGCTGTCACCGAGTAGTGGCTTTGGGCAAGTCCTAGTTTTGCCTAAATGTAGACTTCCCACAACTCTCGCCCCCTTCTAGCTTCCAACCGAGCAATCCTGGCCGTTCTTCTGCAAGACCATTCCGAGTAAAGTACAATTTCACGGTAGTTTTACATTGCTTTAAACAGATTACTTCCCCTCCTTGTTTCTAAGCAGCGTGAAACACTTGCACCTGTTCACTGCTTAACAGACAGGAGAGCTGGCTGTCACAGACTGCCAACCTCCTGGAAATCAGGTTGCCCAGCATCGCCAAATGGAAGCTTACCTGGCTTCTGTCAGTCTCCTGGGGTCACTTTGGCCTTAAAAAAAAAAAAAAAAAAAAAAAAAAAAAGGAAATCCTGCCCGTCGGCCTACCCCACTTTCTGGAAGCGAATTTCCTTCTCTATAGTGTTTTTGTGTCATTGTGTATCTACCCGGTGGGTGTTTATTTTTATAGCTGTGCCCTATCACTTGATTCTATTTAACAGACTTTTACCAACACTCTAAGGTGGCTGTGTTTTTACAGGGTTTAGTTCCATCTGGTAAGTGTCTCCTTTTGGTGGGGGCTTGGGGAGGATAGGATAAGTTGTGGGTTGTGGCCAACTTAGAGTATAAGGTCCGAAATCAGGTACCTAAGATGTGTGTGATCCTATAATTGTGCATGTGCCACACATTCGTCTAATCATGTAGAAGGCACACCACCAAGAGTTAAGTTTGGTGGCGGCTATGGATAGTGTGTGGTAATGGTGTCAGTGTAGGTTCACAGTTGTGACAGGTAGCAACACTCTGGTGTAGGTGTTGATAATGGAGCAGCGGCATGTAGATGCTGTCTTTTATTCAGTTTTCTTGTGAACCTAAAATTTCTTGAAGAAATAGCCTCTTTCAGCTTAGCATGGTGCTAGATGCCTGTAGTCCCAGTTATTTGGGATTACTTGCGCTCAGGGCTTTGGATCCTGCCTGAGCAACCCAGGGAGACATGTTTCTAACAAAGAAGCAATAAATTTATTTTCACAAAAAGGTAGTTACAAAAGGTTTTTTGTCTAGCATGCACAGAGCCCTGGGTTCATCCCCAGTACTGTATAAATGGGGTCTTATAGTACATGACTTTAATCCTGCTCTTAGGATGTAGAAGCAGAAGGACCAGAAAGTCAAGGTCATCCTAGGCTACATAGCAAGTTAGAGGCCAGCCTGGGCTACAAAAGACTCTATCAAAAAAAGAAAAAGGAAGAAAGAAAAAGAGGGGGGAGCGAAGGAGGAAGAGGAGGAGAGAGAGAGAGAGAGAGAGAGAGAGAGAGAGAGAGAGAGAGAGAGAGAAATAAAGAAAGGAAAGGAAGGAAGGAAGAAAGAAAAAGAAAGAGAGAAAGAAAGAAAAAACAAAAAAGCAAGCATGTTAGATACTCTTGTTCATTAAGAGCCTTGTTGGCTCCAGGGACTTTCTCATTGCCAGATCTCCTCTCTTTGGGTCATAGTTTTCCTCCATCTTGGTATACTTTACCTTCTCATTTCCCAAGCCTCAAATCTCTTTCCTTCCTCCACAAATGCTTTGGGAATTGTTGGACTCTTATTTTATTATTGGAGTAATTGTGTACTCTTTGTCTTTTTTTAAAAAAATAGTCTTAAAATTCTTTGCAATTTATCTTGTAATTTAAAGACATGAGTCATAATTTGTCCCTGTAATCTGAGCACTCCCAAGGTAGGAGAATCAGAAAATTCAGCCCAGGCTACCTAGCAAGTTCCAGGCCAGCCTGGGATGCATAGTGGGACCCTGTCTCAAACAAATAATAGACATTTTGTCTGCCATTAGTTTTTATTTCTTTTTCATATATACCATCTCTTAATCCTTTAAACACTTTGTGAGGTGGCTGTCACCTCTGTTGATATATGAAACAAAGGCTAACTTAATATGTAAATCTATTAAACATTGTGGACAGAATCTATATCATTCTGGCTTTAAGGCAGGGTGCTCACCCTAACTACCAAACTACCGAATGTAAATACTCAACTCAAAGACACAAAAAGTAAAAAAAAAAAAGAAAATACTAGGATTATTTGTTCCTGCATAATTAAACTTGTCCTTTATTGAACTAGAATATTTAACACCAGTCTACCAAAATGGCTTTCTAGTCATGAGAACACTATAAATCTACTGTGGTCATCAGACACTGAACATGGTTCATTTGAAGTGGACATTCTGAAAATACTCCAAGCAGCTGGTTTGTCCTCATGATTGTTGATTTTTTGGCTGATCTGTGCAGATCTTGTATGTTGGACCTGGGCTCTGAGGACCTGAAAAAGTGGGCAGACCACAGTCTAATACGGTAGAAAACCTTACTTCAGTTTCAGTGTACTTTTATACACGGATGTAACAAAGGAAACAATGATCCAAGGAAGGTTGTTTGAGTTCAGAAAAACATGTCAATAAACTACTAAACATGTAAATAAAACATTCTAAATATTAACAGAGCAGCCCTTAACCAGAAATTTCTTAGGACAGACTAATTTAAACACAGTTATCTGGCACATACTATGGATTATATCTGAGAAAGCATGAAAGCAAGGCAGAAGGCCATGTTCAGATTTAGGGTACACTGACTGGGCTGGGTTCTGTAGCTATGTTCTGACATCCAACAAGAACAAACATGTCTAAGAAAATGAATGTGAATGTTCGTCACAGGAGGCATGAAATTATGTCCCATAACACACATTCTTCTTTATTTTATTATTTTTTAGATTTAATAAATGTGGATGCTTTGCCTGCATGTATATGAGCCACATGTATGCTTGGTGCCCACAGAAGTCAGAAGAGGGCATCGGATCCTAGGAAGTAAAGTTACAGATGGTTAAGAGCTACCATTTGGGTGCTGGGAACTGAACCTGGGTCTTTTGCAAGGGCAACAAGTACCCTTAACCATTGATCTATCTCTTCAGCCACTATGCTCCCATTTTCAAAGCTTTATTTTTTCTCATAGCACTTAGGCAATACTTATTTTTTTTGTCCTAATATTTAGATGGATCCCAAGATTTTCCGAAAAAAAACAAGACTTATCAAATACTGAATGTGTGAACACTAGAAAGTATACTGTGAAGCTTACAGTGGATGTCACAGAAGATTAGCATATTGCCCTGTCTTTCAAAGACTTTGAAACTTGGAGAGGTAGATAGGCTGATCTGAAGGCATTGGGGGAGGGCACTGAAATGTGTGAGTTCCTCAAATAGAAATAAGCATCAGACATTTCTGGCTAGAATAAGATAGAGGAAAGGTTCTAGAGTGGGAAACCGTATGTCCTACTTTGTTTTCCAGTTGTTGTGATACATGCCAAGTCCGAAAGTAACTTGAGGAGGAAAGAGTTTGTTTGGCTTAAAGGTTACAATCCATCAATGAGAGAAGCCAAGTTAGGAAATCAAGACAGGAACCTCGAGGCAGGAACTAAGTCAGAGGCCGTTGAGGAATGTCCCTTACTGGCTTGCTTCCTCTGGATTTTTCAGCTGCCTTTCTTATACAGCTCAATCTTCCAGTTCAGGAGTGGCAATGCCCACAGTGGGCTGGTCCCTCCTACATCAATTAGCAATAAAAAAAAATTCTCACAGACAAAGCCACAGACCACTCTGATGGAGGATATTCCTCAATTGAGGAATAACTATGACTAACTATGTCTAGATTTGTGTCAAGTTGACAAAAATCTAAACAGCAAGCAATTATATTATCTAGTTTCATTTGTAGAATTGAAAATTCTCATTTTCTCTATAACAAATTACTAAAAAGTCAATGATTAAAACAGTGTTGTATTACATTACAGTTTTGGAGGTTGAAGTCTGCAATCAGCTTCCCTGATGCTAAAATAAAGCTCCTCCTGGGTTCTTTTTTTTTAATTCATAGTACATTTTTATTTATTTTCTCTTCGTGACCCTTTCCTCCTCTAACAACAAGGAACTAGCCAAAGCACCATCGTTATCATCATTATTATTGACCTACCTTCTTTTCATTAGTAGCCATGGATACTAGCATAAGGTAATGTTTACTCCAAAATGGCATCATGTTATTTCTGGATAAGTGGGCAGGAGTTACCTGAGGGATTGGAAGTACTGCTCTCTGATAAACACCCAAAGCTCCACCTTGGTAAACAAGAGAATATTTGTATCTGGTGGAGGTTGAGGGTTAGTTATTTCCCCTACAGATTTCCTAAGATACTTTAGTTTCTCATTGTATGAGTATTCATAAAATGCACAACATGTACCTATTGCAATTCTAATAACTATAGCTAAGTAGGGTACAAGGAATAGAATAATACTTGAACTGTCAACTATACTGTTGTGTATTTTTTCCTGGGGAAACATAAAGGAATATCTATTTACCCCAGAAAGAAGGGTACCAACAGTATGTACAAGTCCAGCTTGGTAAATCAATGTGTTGATTCAAGTTATTTATGGGGGCTTAGGATATACAAAGGTCAGAAAGTCCTCTAGACAATTTACAGGCAGTGCATTTCCAAAGAAGAATCTACCCCAGTCAATTGTTTACCCCTTCTATAACCACATGAAGAACAGGATCCTGGTGTGGATCTCATGAAGGCTCTCAAGCCTCTAGAACCCTATAAGGCCTGTCTGTGCACCTTATGAGCTATCCATTCCCTCCATAGGGAATATTAATAGGCTCAATCTTATGAGGGCTTCATTATCCTGGTGAGCAACCACCTTCCCTCTATGAGTTAACCTTAATAATCCTGACCTCATGAGGGTTGTGTGTAGCTGCTCTGCTTCAAGGTGACAATAGTAGTGTCAAACAAGGAGACTACAACTACACACACACACACACACACACACACACACACACACACACACACACACTTAAGAACTGTCCTGGATATGCTGTGTCAGAAGCATAGACATGTATTGTCATCCCACTATGTAAGAAGTAATTGAATCACAATGAATTTATAAGGTTTATTGTTTCATTGGCTGCATTTGCCATGTAGATCTGATTTCCCTTGATAGAGGTCAATTATCAAACTTAGGCTCTTTTATTCCATTCTTAATGACTAACTCTGCACTCACACACCACACAGTAAACATATCTCTGTATATGTTGATCACAGAATGGATACAAGAAGGTTAAAGAGGTTACAGCAGGGTTCAATGAATTCTAGGGGGCCCAATAAAAGGCAAGCAGGAGGCTGAGAAGATGCAAAGAGAATCTCCGTGAGAGTTAGATAATGGACTTTACTGGAGATCTGCTGGAGGCACCGGCCAAGTTTCCTGACACAGGCTTGAGCTTTGCTTCAGGGTCCAGTTGAACTGCAGAACAGAGGTGTGGGGCTGTGGAGGCTGTGGAGGTGCTGTGCTGTGCAGAGCCGGGTCCCACATAGATGAGCAGGAGGATGGATGGATGACAATTCAAGTGGATAGCATCAGCAGTGGAGACAGCCAACACAAAGCTCCTGGGACAGTTAGGCATTCTCTGTTTTCCAGAGGATGGGACAGTGAGGCCATAGCCATTGCTGTGTTAGGTGTCAGAGTATCGCACCATTTCCTTACTCTGGTGTATTTTTCCAGATGCTTAAATGGTCCTAGTTTGCTTGATAAATTCACAGTATAATACCGTTTTTTCTTTCAGAACTGAGTTATTTATCAATCTGCTTATGTGTACAATGAAGTGCAGAGTTAGCCTGTGTTATTAGTTACTTTTCTCATTGTTGTGACAAAATACCCTGACAAAAGCAATTTAAAAAAGGAAGGGTTGGCCGGGCGGTGGTGGCGCACGCCTTTAATCCCAGCACTCAGGGAGGCAGAGGCAGGCGGATCTTTGTGAGTTCCAGGCCAGCCTGGTCTCCAAAGTGAGTTCCAGGAAAGGCGCAAAGCTACACAGAGAAACCCTGTCTCGAAAAAAACAAAAAACAAAAAAAAAAAAAAAAAAAAAAAGAAGAAGAAGGAAAGGATTATGTCTGCTCACAGTTTGAGTGGGCCATCCACTGCAGCGGGGTGTGTGTGTGTGTGTGGGGGGGGTGATGTGAGGTGAGGATGGGGGAAGTAGCAGCAGGAGCATGAAGCAGCTGGTCACGTTAAGTCTGCAGTCAAAAAGCAGAGAGTGATGAGTGGGGGCCGCTCAGCTCCTTTTCTCCTTTTCAGCATCCCAGTCTGTTTCCTCCCCAGCCATGGGTTTTGGCTAGGTTTACATTATCAGGTATATATTTACATGGAGCAGGCCTCCAATTCAGTCTGAAAATGACCGGTTATCCCCAAATAGTCATGCCTCTACAGCACCAGTGGAAACTTTTAAGGGACTGTACTAATAGCTCCAACACCTCCTGTTGACAATTGGCTAATCCCATTCACACCCCTGGCCATCTGATCAGCAAGGACACCCTGCAAGGAAAGCAGCTGAACTGGGCACTTTGCTTCTCACCCTCCCGAAGAAAATCACAAGTGTGACATGAAAGAGGAAGAGGAGGAAATACCATGTCCGGGTAGTGGTAGACACCCACAGCAGCCAGTCAAACAAAATTCTGCACTGACTTCCTGCTGCCTGTGTGAAAGACACGTCTCTATACATTATCTTACGGAATTCTTAAAACAGTTCAACACATGCATTATTAATGCTCTGTATCAGACAAGGATATGGCCTCGGCGGTAGGCAGAAGCTTTTGTAAGTCAGCAGGCTAAGTGTGAGGAGGGTCTGATTGTAGCCCCTCGGTCTTCCATGTGCTCCCTGCTTCACTCTGCTGATATGACTGTGTGGGGCATGGGCCAGCCTGCCTTCCTGTTGTTGCCTTTGAGTCTCTCGAAAGATACACACTGCATCAGTGAGGCTAATGTTCTGCTATGAGCATACACAATGCTGGCCAAGCCAGACTTCGTCTTTTCAGATATTAGGATCTCCCAAGGATGCCAGCCCTGTGAGGCTGGTGTGGATGCCTCTGTGAAAGGTGTTCCCACAATGGTTGTTCGTTTCTTCCCAGCTATTTGAAGAGAGTGTGTTCCTTCCCTTCCTGCTTGTGCTGTCACACCACAGCATCCGGTGGAACACAACTCTGCTACTGGGAAGTCTCTTTGAAGAACTCTCCACAATTTCCAAAATTTTTACTAAGGAAAAACTGTCATTTTCAGAAAAGTTAAGAGGGTAGTAAAATGAACAATCTGTGATGTCCATTTATTTATTTATTTATTTATTTATTCATTTTTCTTTATTAAGAAATTTTCTACTCACTCTACATACCAGCCACAGATCCTACCTCCTCCCTCCTCCCACCCCCCAGCCCTCTCTCCCAAGCTACCCCACATCCCCACATCCCCCAAATCAAGGTCTCCTATGGGGAGTCAGCAGAGCCCAGTTCACTGAGCCTAGGCAGGTCCAAGCCCCTTCCCACTGCACCAAGGCTGTGCAAGGCCTCACACCACAGGCACCGGATTCCCAAAAGCCTGCCCGTGTACCAGGGATGAATCCCGATCCCCCTGCCTGGGTGTCCCCCAAACATTTCGAGCCAAACAACCATCTTCCATATCCAGAGGGTCTAGTCCAGTCCCATGGGGGTTCCACAGCCACCAGTCCACAGTTCATGGGCTTCCACTAGTGTGAACGTTCATCTCTGCACATCCTCCCATCATGATCTCCATGTCCCTTGCCTGCAGAATCTCTCCTCTCTCATCAATTGGATTCCCGGAGCTCAGCCTGGTACCTGGCCATGGATCTCTGCATCTGCCTCCATCAGTCACTAGACAAAGGCTCTATGATGACAGTTAGGATATTCACTAGGCTGGTTACCAGAGTAGACCAGTCCAGGCACCCTCTGGACCACTGCCAGCACTCCAAGGTGGGGTCATCCTTGTGGATTCCTGAGAGCCTTCCCAGCACCCTGCCTCTTCCTATTCCCATGATATCCTCATCTATCATGGTATCTCCCTCCCTGCCCTCCCACTCTGTCTCTGTTCCAGCTCAACCCTCCCATTTCCCTATGTTCTCATCCCCCACTCCTTGCCCTCTGCCACCTCCCGACACCCAGTCCGCTCATGTAGATCTCTTCCACTTCTCCTTCACTGGGTCATCCATGTGTCCCTCCTAGGGTCTTTCCCTGTTAGCTAGCCTCTCTGGAGCTGTGGTTTGCAGTCTGGCCATCCCTTCCCTCACATCTAGTATCCACTTATGAGTGAGTACATGCTATGTTTCTCTTTCTGAGTCTGTGTTACCTCACTCAAGATGATATTTTCTAGTTCCATCCATTTGCCTACAAATTTCATGATGTCATTGTACTGTCCATTTAAATATGAAAGTTAACGACATTAATCTGTGTCATCTCTGTCTAACTGTGTGTCTGTACTTGTGTACATTTATATGTGTGTTTTATGGATACTTTGAATTTATAATGAAATATTTGAAGACATCATCATTGTTGTTACATTCTTCCTATCTCAAGCATGCTCCTCATAAAGATAAAGAATATTATCAAAGGTGGAGGGAGGAAGGTCAGAACTTCAAGAGGTTCAAGTTTGTCTAAGTTATGTAGAAAGACCTGGGCCAGCCTGGGCTACATGAGCTTGCATGTAGGAAAACATGCATGTGGAGCATGTTAGCTCTTTCATTATATTGTTACTATTACCTCAAACATTTATAATCATTCTCATACCTAAAACATATCAAATTTCAAATTTGATGAACTGAGTTGGTTTTAATTAGTTTTTGTTTTAATTAGTAAGCTTTACTATTTTGCATAATGATTGCTTGCAGAAAATGAACAGAAAGCACCCAGTTACCATATTACCCCCTGCCCCAATTTTCTAGCTTCCCGTTAAGAACATGGTGTATGATGCTATGTGTTTGTTATAATTGATAGCTAACCCTGGATTCCAAGATTCACTTTTAGTTTATTTTTCTCTGGTTTTGGACAAATACACAATGATATGTATTCTGGATTTGTCTGATTTTTTTTTTTTTTTGTAGTTTCTTCTAAGCTGCTCCTGTAGCTGGTTTGCTCTGACTGGAGGGTAGATGTAAAGGCTGCTTGTCATCAGTCTAAACGTGTTTGGCAAGAACGCTTTGCAAATGATGAGCTGTTCGTTCTGCATCCTGTCAGGAACATGAAGTGCCAACTTCTTCATGGTTAGTGATGAGAAACTCAATCTTCTGAGCAAAGGATTAGGTGATTATAGGCAGATACACTGGTAAAGGTAAACTTGAAAATTTTCCTTTTGATCACTGAAAATCTCATTCTCCCAACAGCTGTTTACCCAAATTCTTGCACTCACCAACCAACTGTACTTAAATAATTTACTGACAGTTTCCTAATTCTTCTGTAACAGGAAACTTCATGTCTGTATCCCTTTCTCTCTCACTAAGGTCTTGGATTTTTATACACAGACTGTTATCATTTACAGTTATTACACTCAAGGGGGCTTGATTTAAACCTGTCCACAGGGCTCTAGCATGACCCCTTTGTCTTTGAACATGACCTTGCTTGCTGGAAGGACATGCCTCAGGTTCTTTTTGGGCCTTTCTTGCACTCCTTTCTCTTGGTGAGGGGTGGTGTCTACTTTGTGCATTCCTTCTCAGATACCTTAGCTTTCGCTCCAGTTCACAGCTCTGACTTTAATAACTGCATGGTCCGAGTGCCCTTCATGGTGTTTACAGTTCATGACATTTAAATTCAGGGAGGATTGTCTCAAGGAAATACAGGACCTCTGATTTTCGTAGCTAAAACTGAAGTTGGAAGGAGCTAAATAAGCAACTGCCCCCAGTCATGTCCTCTTGGGTCTTCTAGAACTGCCAGCGATGAAGGTGAGTAATGTCAAGGGCCCAAGAGCTTGAGCCCGAAGGTGGGGGCTTGTGTGCCAGTCTACATATGGCTACCAGCCTTCAGCAGTGACATTTCCTTCCTTTTGTCCCTCCGGTTTATTTAACTGGTCATTGACCAATGACTTTGAAAGCAAAGACTTTTTTTTTTTTAAGCACTTGTAAGAGTGTCTGTGACTGAATCACCACACAAAGCTTTTGAGACTCATCCTGTTTACTGTTTAGATAAAAGCCTTCTCAATTCAGTTCCTAATATCAGAAACCAGAGCTACTTCTAAGTGAATCTGTCTTAAAGAGACCAAGAAAACTAGACACAATGGTGCTCTCCTGCAGTCCCAGGTATTTGAGAGGCTGAGGTAGAAGGAATTCCTCATAAGCCTGGGCGGCATGAAGAGTGTACATTTCAGCTAGATAGACAGACAGACAAAGAAATAGGCACTGTCACCTACAGTAACATAGACTTCTATTTATGATATGTATACTGATCCTTACAGCACATTTTTGATTCTCACAGTTTCTACTTGGAGGCAGAATTAAGATTGTGTCCTCTGGATGGACTTGCCTGAGTGTGACTCCTGCCATAGTCGATGCCACCAGGCACATATCCCAGCTACTCCGCATCCTGTGCCGTCGGCAAAGTGGAGGCTCACTGAGGTATCTACCTTCCTTGTATTTTTTATTAGGATTTGATGTGTGAAGCCCCTGGAGTACCTAGAGCAGTGGCTGGTCTGTTATATTGCCCAGGAAGCTTCTTGCCATCGTTCTGATGGCTTCTTATTGCTCCTCTTTCCTTCTGTCCTTTTTCCTCCTTTGTTTATTTGTTCTATGTGTGTGTGTGTGTGTGTGTGTGTGTGTGTGTGTGTGTGTGTGTGTGTGTTGTGTTCTGTTTTTGAGACAGTGTCTTCCTATGTGACCCATTTGCCTTAAATCTGTGTCCCTCCTACCCTGTCCTCCAAAGCACAAAGCACTCAGAATACAATCCTTTGCCACTGTGTCCAGCTAAAGTGTGTTGTTTTGTTTCCTTTTTGCTTTTATCATTGCTGAGAATCAAACCCATGGTAGAGTTGGGCAAATGCTCTATCATTGAACTACATCCCTAGTCTTGATTCTCTTTTATTTTCTAAGACCCCTGTTTTCTATTTACACTGATTACTGTTTTTTAAGGTGTTTTTTAAAATGCCTTAGTGTGTGTTCTTGCAGCACAGAAGTGGGCCTGGCCAATTTCAGCCCAGAGCTAGAGACATGCACTCAGAGGCAGAGCTGAAGAAGGGCAAGGTCAGACAAGGCAAAGAGAACCATGTAGTTTCTGAATGGAGGGGGCAGGGGTTAGCAACTGTCTTGTGATCAGTTTTCTTTGTAACAAACCACTTTATGTTTTAGTGGCCTGTAGGACAAGGACACGGTTCACATTGTAGGACCACAAAGGAAGCCCAGTCTTGCTGGAGGCAGAACTGTCACTTTGGGGAGCAGCCTCTCCAAGTGCTTTACAGTAAAGTGCTGCCATCCATCAAAATGCAGGACAGCAAAAGCAAGGGCCTAGTGAGCCTGAACCAACAGATACTGTGGGCCAGGACTTAGCATTTTGTTACATATTTTAGCTGTTTTATCTTCTGTACAAAGATAAAAGAGAATACTGCCAGAATATTCAGTAGATCTTAGACCAGGTCCAACCCTTTCTCAGTTCTCTATGATTATTTTGGGTGCTGAGTTATTACTCCCATGACATGTAAGCTCTGACTCACCCCCAAGGTTGGTGCCTAAAGACTAACTTTTGTATATGGAAATCTGTGTTACTTTTATGCACATGTAAACACACATGCACTGACGTAATGTAGCCCACATTTCAAACTCAAGTGTTATAAGGAATTTTTATGTGAACAAGATTTTCTTCACTTAATAGCTCTTTTCTGTTATTTCAGTTTCTGTGAATAAAATAATTGTAAAATGTATATTTAAAAGGAAGCTAACATTCCTTCACTATTCAAATTTACAAAGAGGTAATGATGCTGTTGTTTTAGGGTATGAAACAATTTTGCTTTAAATGGAATTGTTTATTTATTTCTAAGTGAGTTCTATTTTTCTATGGCTAAGGACTACCAAATAATTCCTATGGCTTATTGGAAAGGACATATTTTGTTCGTTCTAAACTGTGGTTATTTTCTAATAGTTCAGGTATAAATTGCCATTACTGATTTTTCTTAGGTGACTTCACTGTAGAGGGAACGAGCTCACAAATAAGCACTAGGGAAACCAGGAATGTTAAGCACACAACCTTGTCTCTTCAATGAATGGAATGTGTATACCTGTTTTCCACCCAGAAGGCTGGGAGCAGATGTAGTTAATAGCATGACAATCTCTGCTATCTGTCAGGCTAGCCACAGCTGAATCCCCCAGACTATTGTGTTTACCACAGATTCTTCCTCCTTTGGCCTTTATCTTAAGCATTGCTTCTCAGGCAATAGAACTCATTCTTTTGGAGATGTCATTTGTACTCTTTACCCTGCTAACCTCTATGCTATCTTGGTCAGAGACCAAGCTATAGAATCCATTTTTATGATAGAGGTCACATGTACTTTGCATGTTAGGATGAGGTGTTTGATTTTAATTGGGCGTGTTAATTAGGTGAGCCAAAGGTTTCTTTTGATTTCTGGATTTCAGTACTTCCATAGCAGAACTTTGGTGGTCAGCCTCGGGAGGAGGAAATAGCCAAATAAGGAATAGACCTTGATGGCTAGTTTTAGGAATATAATCTAAGGGTTTTAACAAGGCAGAAGGAATTGGGAAGAAGGGCAAGGCTTGCCAGAGCCATATTCTCGAGTGTGCTAATGTCCCTTGGAACAGAGTGTTGTAAGTGGAAGTATGGTTGCTTGAGGATTGTCTCAAACTGAACTGCAGCATCAGACTTCACTGTGGCCATTTTGAGTTTGTTTGGAGGTTTTGGGTTTTTTTGTTTGTTTGTTTTGTTTTTTGAGACAAGGTCTCACTACTAGCCTTGACTGGCCCGGAGCTTGAGATGTAAACCAGGCTGGCTTCAAACTCACAGTTTTTTCCTACACCAGCACTCTGGCTGTTTTTGAAGCAGTGCTTCTTGAAAGTGGTTTCCTGAATTAGATGGATGATTTAAAAACAATAAAATCTTCATTCACTACTGTTTATGCTAATACTGTAAGCTGTGTTTTATTGTTTTTAGCCAATATTTTCTTTTAAGTATTAGCTTTAATTAGATTACTAATTAAAAACAGTCATCTCTCCTTTCCTTACCGTGATTACACACAAATGTGTAATGTGGTTCTGTTTTGAGTAAATACATTTGAACTTGCAGTCATTTGAAGATGCGTGGGGTTAATTAGTTGTAGGAGCTTCATAGTTGACAACGCTCTGAGCCCAGTGCTGAGACTGTTTATTTCCAAGCTTGTTTACAGCCTAAAGTGCTGAAGGGACTGAGAAACTGTTAATTCTCGATTTTATATGAAAGTGCAGACAGTGTTTCTATGAGAGCCTTTAATATTTCTAAGAAAAGCTTCATAAATCCTTCCATTTGTATACAAAATTGTCTTTTCTCGGACTGAGGATGAAGCTTAGTGGCAGAACACTTGCCAACCTTGTGCAGAGCCCCAAGATCTGTCCCCAGCATGGGAAGGGATGGGAGGGAAGGGGTAATAAAGGAAAGGGGAATGAGAAGAGGAGAAAAGGAAAGGAAACCACCAAACTTTATTACAAATATTTAATCTTGAAGGAGGATGCCACTATGTTGGGGGAGGGAGGTTGTCTGCCTTGGGCAGGAGGATGCTGCTGCCTTGGTCTTGAATGGACTGAACTTGCTGTTAAACTCAGAGCTTTTGTGTATGGTAGAAAGTACTTTACCAATGAGCTTCGTCCTCAACCATATGCTTCAGCTAATTAATGAAGAATGATTTGCATTGAACTAGACAAGCTGGGTCAAGCATTTGAAGATGCTTTTAAGATGTTGAGGCAAGAGTCAACCGATCTTCAGTAGTTCAACAGAACACAAGCTTACCTGTCTTCCATTACCTACATAGAAACTTGTCTGTAACTGAGGAAATATAATAAACAGTGCTGCAGACTTACATCTGGAAGGAAATCTTCACCAGTCTCCGCAGAACAAAACTGAAAAATCTGTTGGTACAACCTACCCTTTGCAGCAGAAGAGAGAAACAGGCAGGAGGAGGCTGCAGCTGACTAGCTACTTCTGTGAATCCCTGTGCTATCTCAAGTCTTATACTCAATGGATTGACAATACCATGGGCATCTTGCAGATTATATCAAAAAACAAAGAAAAATTTGCTCTACTTTGGGGAAAAAGAAAAGGCAACCGGAGGACCACGATTTATCAGAAGACAGCCAAAGTGCTGAGGCCTTACTAGAGACAAGGGAGATACCAATATCCAGACAAAGCTCATGTAGATACCAATATCCAGACAAAGCTCATGTAGATACCAATATCCAGACAAAGCTCATGTAGATACCAATATCCAGACAAAGCTCATGTAGCAGTGTAGTGAGACTCTCTCCTTCATTTCCAAGGGATGGACTCTTCTATTCACAGTGTGTCCAGCCTACTCTGGAATACCTCAGCTTAAGCCATGAGGATGCAACTTATTATGCATATGCCCACTACTATGAACTAAGCCACCCCAACTGCTTGCTAACTGTAGTCACCATCTTCTTGCCTTTCTAGCAACAGAAAACTCCAAACCAGGATTTTTCTAAAGCCAACAGTTGCGATCCAGAGGCATGGGTTCCACTGCAGATTATATCAAAATCTGCCCTTGAAGCAAACGCATCGTACTAAACATTTGCAGACTTTTGTTCTTGTCAAGACAACACTTTAGCTAGTGTTTATATTTTATCAATGTTAAACTGGACTTAAAGAGAACTTCAAATGTTGAAAAAGGATGTTTCTAGGTTACCTGCAGATATTTTGCCATTTTGATATTTAAGAACATCTTGGAATTAGCCTCCCAAGAAACACTGTGGGGGATGAGGACTGAACTGAAAAGGAAAACTTCAGTTAATATCCTTTTTATTTGTAATTTTATTAATGAATAATTTTATCTCAAATAATTTAAAGAAAATATTAGGTATCTTGTGTGGGTATTTACTATGAAACCATTTGTAGCTGGAGTTTTCTCCAGTGCCGCCCAGCCCCAGGGCCCCACAACCCTTATAAAATAATCACTCAGAAGCTCATATTAATTAAACTGCTCGGCCATTAGCTCAGGCCTACCACTGTCTATCTCTTACACTTAAACTCAGCCCATTTCTATTAATCTATACCTTGCCACGTGGCTCGTGGCTTACTGGTAACTTACATCTTGCTACTCATTGTGGCGGCTGGCAACATCCCCTGACTCAGCCTTCTTCCACCCAGCATTCTCTCTCCTTGTCCCGCCTACACTATCCTTCCTGCCTGGCTACTGGCCAATCAGTGTTTTTATTTATCAATCAATCATAGCAACACTTATTCACAGCATACAGGACATCCCACAGCAACCATTTTTTCCTAGATCATGTTATTTTGGATGGTTTTATAGAGATTTGCCAACACATGGGGCTTAGATGTTGATTTAAATACTTTCTGTCTTGTACTCACATGAAAAAGTCACCCTTAACATGGCTTCCATAGCTTCACAAAAAATTATCCACAGGTTATGCAGAAACGTGCCAATGGCTTTTGAAACTACAATGGATTGTTATGATAATATCTACTATATTAGATGTTGGATGATATGTCATTGTGGTTTTACGTGGCTTTTTTTTTTTTTTGGTTACAGGTAGTATTTTATCTATTTCTCTGTTGACCATTTGCATGCTTTTTGAAGAATACATAATCAAATCTTTTGCCCATTGTTATACAATAATAACTGTTCTCTTCTTACTGGTTTGAGTTCCTTGGTCTTTGTTGTTGCTGTTCCATTTTTTGAATCAAGGTCTCATTCTGAAATGCAAGGTTGACCTCAGATTGACAACAAGCCCAGCTCAGCTTCTCCAGTGCTGGTATCATAGGTGTGAGCTGCCTTGCCCAGCTGAATATTTTAGACTTTGGCTCTTTGCCCACTTCATGGCTGAGAGTGTTTTCCCCATCTGGGTTGCTGTTTCCTCTGCAACAGGGAACTTTTCTGTTGTGTGAAATCCCATCTGCCCGCCTTGCTTCCAGTGCTTGTGTTTCGAGGCCAGATTAAGGAAATCTCTGCCCAGAACAGTGCCAGGGAGTTTTAGCCCTGTGTTTTCTTATGGTACTTTTATAGTTTTAGATAATATCTTTAAGCTTTTAATTCATTTTGCATTGATTCTTGTGTATGAGGGTTCATTTTCATTCTTCTATATTGTGGTGGTTAATTTTGATTGTCCATTTGATTGGATTAAGGACCACCTAAAGAGCTATATTTGACCTAGGCCTATCATTCCAGCTCTTTGGGAGGCTGAGGTAGGAGGCTGGTTATTTTTTACTCTCAACTAAGGGCACCCCTTAACCTCTATCGTCATAACCCACTCATATTAGTACTCTATTATGTCTAAAACCATTGCTACCTTAATATTAATTAATACTAGATCTGTAATGTAAATTGATGCTTGCTGAATTTCCTATAGGGAGAGATGGTTCGTAAAAGTTAATCATTAAAAGATGCAGCTGTATGAGCAAGACATGATGACTGCAGATGATATAAAGTATTTAAGCGGTCATAATGAAAACCATTATTCTTACACAAAAACAGTTAAAAAGAAAAAAACAAATATGTCAATGAAAATTGGACTGATACAATTTAAAATCAAAGTGCAGTCGTAAGGATTTTTTTGAGTAGTCAAAAAGATGATTGCAGAACTAAGTTGCGTATAATTGTTTTCTATCACATGAAGCATTTGTCATAGTTTGTACTACAGCTGTACACAAAGTGCTCTGTAAAGCTAATGTGGATGTAAACAAAGAGACTGAACACAGATTTGGGATCCAGGAAACTTTTACTAGACTTTTGCCAAAGTGCTTAACTCTTTGTGCTTCAAGTTCTTAACTCTAGAATAGATGCGATGTTCTACATTTAGGGTATTACAATGAATAAATGAGTCATTTCACAATATTTTCACTTTGGTTAGTTGCTATAGTCTTTCTTTAAATTTTTCTTTTAATTTTTAAGTGTGTGTATGTGCATGTTAATTGATGTGACAACAGAAGCCAGAAGAGGGTTTGGACCCCTCAGTCAGGGAATTAAACTCCAATCTTGTGAGAAAACAGTTTAGACTCTTAGCTGCTGAGCCATGGCTTTAGCTCTTCCATATTCATTCTTCAAAAGCTTAGCCCACACATTGTTTGCTTTTTTGTCATCTTTAAAATTTTTGGGGGGGTTTTACTTTACATACGATGTTTTCATAAGGCACATGCCAATAAATAAATAAATAAATAAAACTATCTTTGTTATGATGTACATGTAGAAATATCTCTGTTAAAGGAAGCAACAAACTTTCATGGCCATTTTCACTGTGGTGGTAAATTGAAGCAACAGAATATAACCAGTTGCTTAAAATAAATACCGCTGACTCCGTGTGCTGAACTCCTCCAGGGTTGTAGGGAGAGATTCCTTTTCTCCACTAAGTCAAAGAATAAAAAGTCAGGAAAACCGAGCTCTTAACACCCAGCCAAGTTTTACTGAAAGCAGACATGGACAGCCAAGTGCACCAGGAGTGAGACTCCCAGTGAGGCGCGACCGCAAAGATGATATCAGAGTTGGGCTGATAGAGACTAAACTTTTTTGTCTCATTTTTTATGTTTGGGGATAGGATGAGTTCCTTTTCTCCTTCAGAATTGGCTGGTTTGGACCACTACACAGGACTGGATAATCTAGACCAAGAAAGGAAAATTGGTTGGTTCCTCCACTAACCCCATGGAAGGTTTGAATGTCTCATTGAACAGATCTTTCGAGCAGGAAAAAGCCCAAAAAGTCTTTGTCTTGGAGGGGGAGAAGAAGCAGAAGCCAGCCATCTTAAATGTTTACATGAAAAATACATTAATCTAACTGGGCCTTCTGTGGTAGTGCCTGCGCTACTGCCACCGGTTCACCATGTCCGAGCAAGGGGCTGTGGATTAAAAAATAGAGACAAGAAACAGCGGGTCATTCACCCCAGCAGAATACCGAATGCCATTTATTGAAGGAGGGAGGAAACCTTAAATACAGGCTTACAGCACAATGGAGGATCCCCAGAGGGCAGAAGTTTACTACCCAATGTTCTACATTCTTGCATCTAAGCTGTTTACACCAAATGCAGGATACACAGACAAGGAACCTCTGGTGAGCATTCAGGAAGAAGGAAACCAGCAGGAAATCAGCATAGGGAGGACATCTGGTCAAGGTTGGCAAGCAGGCAACAGTTACTCAAATTGGGAGGGCCAGGGCCCTACATGGGCCCTCTTTTCCCTGTCTGTCTACCTACCAGGAGTCCATCAAATTTAGCCCGCTACCCTCCCCACATAGTTTCTTTAACTGTTGTTGGGGAAGTATTCTGACTACTTCCTGCTGTTAAAAAAAATAGTGATGATAGGCATCAATAGTCAGGATGTCCAAGGCAGGCTGATTTAAGAGGTAGAAATTGGAAGTTGAGACCCAGCGATCCAGGATGAAGTACAGTCATTTGGTGTTGGATGTCTCCTTAGGACGTTTCAGATACTGATATAAGGTCTGCAAAATACATAAAATAAGAATAGCAGTCCTGCCAAAAGTATCATCTAGTGAATTATGCATCCCATCTCAAAAATGCCCATGTCAGAGGAGGGATTGTGCAGGAGAGCCAACCAAAATATCCTTGAAACTCAGTGTGATATGTATTGACAAGGTCAAGGGTATCCTTGCTATTCTCATCTACAGTATGTGTTTTATGAAGTAATTATTGGTCTGGTTTAGGAGTTTGAGGAGCTTTTCACCTATAATTTTAAATTTGGAGATGGGCCATTGGGTTTTGCCCACCTCAACCTTATGGAGAACACTGAACACTGAGGGGTAAGGTAAGAGACTTTTTTTTTTTTTTTTTTACATCTAGATTGGCATGGTTTTGTTAATCATATTGAAGTGTAACTGCAATAAGTCATCAGTTGCATCAGACTCCCCTAGGGGAGCAAATGCCTGAAAACTTTACAAGAGAAGTTATTTAAAGCAACTGTCTCATTGGTGGTGCCCTTTGAGCAGGAGATGCCCCTGTGCATAAAGAGAAATAATGTTTGGTGGATGTTGACACTATGGGCCAAACCTGAGTAGAATCTGGATTCTATTCTTAAAGAGAGCACAAAAAGATATCAGCATCTAATTACCAATCTGAGAAAGAAATGTAATCCATTGAGTCTAGCTTTTTATAAGATTTGCCCAATGGATATCACTAGAGTATTCTGAATAATTTCTCCCAAACCTCTGAAT